GTACTAGTATTTTTAAAAAAGAATTATTTCATTTCATTCATTCATTTTAATTTGATCAGAGAGGACAGAAGAAGAGAAAAAAAAAAGCCACTAGGTCTGGGACTCCAACCCTGGCCAGCCACGTGGGATTCCAGCACCCTTAACCACCACACCACCTGCCGGCCCCAGTATAGTATTTTTAAATTGCTATAGGGTATATGCACTCACAAGAGAGAGAGAGATGTGGGAGTCCAGGGCCTTAAGCACCATGCCACCTGCTGGCACCCTGTGGCAAATTTTTAAAAATAAAGTAATATAAAAAAGAAAAACTAGGGCCAGCTAGGTGGTTAAGGCAGCTGGATCCTACATGGATGACAGCATGGTTCAAGTTCCAGCCCAGTGGCTTAAAAGCCATACTAGAGGGGCCAACAGATGACATAGGGGTTATGTCTCTGAACTCACACATGGTTGACCACAGTTCAAGCCCCAGACCCAGTAGCTTGAAACACACACCAGGCACATGTGCATGCATGCTCAAAATCCCAGGAAGAGAATGGCAGAGAAGGGATTGCAGCGTGGCCATCCCTCCTTGGGGAGTCATTTCTCACTTTCTCTCTGTGTCTCTCTACAAGTACACACACCCTATAGCAAAAAAAATCTTTAAAAAAAATAAGAAGGACCAGCAAGTGGTGTGGTAGTTAAGGTACTGGACACTCCCACATGGCTGACCACGGTTCAAGTCCTGGACCTGGTAGCTTGCTTTCTCATTTTCCCTCTCTCTCTCTGGTCAAATTAAAATAAATGAATGAATAAATAAAATTAAACAAAATATATCTTTAAAAAAATAAAAGAGAGAGAGAAGTTATGCAACATGGTGACTATAGTTAAAAAGATGTGGGATGTCTGTGAAACAGCACAGTACCTACCACTTTAGAAACGTTTAGAATTTGTATATTCACGAAAAAGGATTCCCATGACGTTGATAATCACATCCTGAGCCATTATTTCTGCCCACACTATGTCCAGGAGGCACGAGTAGGAATGCCAGTCTTCCAAGTTCAAAACACAACTACTGGGGGGGTCGGCAGGTGATGTGGTGGCTAATGTGCTGGACTCCCACATGGTGGGCCATGGGTCAAGTCCTGGAACTAGCAACTTGAAAATCATGACGAGCACATGTGTGTGCGTGTGTGTGTGTGTGTGTGTGTGTGTGTCCAAAATCTTGGGAGGAGAATGGAGGAAAAGGGACTATGGCGTGACCATCCCCCTGGGGGTGATTTCTCACTTTCCATTCACTGTCTCTCTTTCTCTTCTCGGCGAGCAAAAACCTTAAAAACAATCACCACCAAAAGATGTAATGTGGGTCAGCAGATTGCATAGTTGTTAAGGCACAGGGTTCCCACATGGCCAGCTGCAGCCTGAGTTCTAGACCTAGCAGCTTAAAAATCACATTGGGCACGTGTGTGCCCAAGATCCCAAGAGGAGAATGGAGGAGAAGGAATTGAGGTGTGGCCATCCCCCCTGGGAGGGGACTTCTCGCTTTCCATCTCTCTGTCTCTCTCTGTCTTTCTGGTGAGCACACGTGCCCTAGAGCAAAAAAAAAAAAAAAAAACTCTCCAAAAAATATTTTTTAAAAAAGAACACAAAATATATATTATACACACATACACAAGTTTTGTCCACTGAAAAATAACAATTTCAAAACAAGACAAGACAGTTATCCCTTACCACTTTCATAATGGGTCCATCAGCTGAGTACCACTGTGCAGAGGGCCTGTGTAGTCACCGAGCCGAGCAGTGGGGCCCTCGTGCTCTTGGGAGAGAGCCCCTGCAGACCAGCAGCCGAGCTCTGCTGCCCTCCCAGAGCGGAGCACCGTGAGGCTGCACCTCTCACGGCCAGGCCCACTCAGAGGCCCGGCTTCTCTGCACGTGCTCAACATGTGGCCTAGACAGAAGCATGTGAGGAATCTCAGCCCCGTCTGTCACCTACAACGGTGACAGGTAGCCTCTTTCTAGTCATGGACAGGACTGAAGACTCACAAGTGAGAGGCGTGTGCTGAGCTGGACACAGGGTCCGACTCAGCGAGGCCAGGGATGCTGCGGGCACTGGGGCCTGAGCAGCCTGAGGGGAGGCCCCCACGGGTCAGAGGGTCCAACTCCATGAACACACCCTCACACTGGCACGCACATGCACGTCCATGGATGTCTGAGAGCACACTGTGCCTGGTCAAGCTAAGCAGACCATCAGGAGCACACTGCAGGGAGACAGAGGCGGGCGCTCTCTCGCTGCGTGGTGCACGTCTGTACACAAATGAAAGGTGGCCTCCCTCTGGCCATGTTTAGGAAGGGCAGCTGGCTTGGTCTGGGCCCACACAGTCCCTGGCTTCAAGGCTGTCTCAGCCACAAAAAGGGTATGAGCATTAGAGCCGCCATGTGTTTTGACACCACAAAGGTGTGACAGCCAGCTGGAGGCTTGGGTATGGGCCAGGACTAGAGGGGGAGTCAAAGAATGTCCCCCACACCTGGGCCCAGGGACTATCCCTCTCTGTGCAAGAGCCAGAAAAGAAGGAACTTCCAGTCACCGACAAGAACCTGGGCTGGCGCCCAGGGAAGGGCAGCTGCATAGCCCTGCTTGGAGCCTGCTGGGAACATGCTTTCTCCACACAACCCATGCTGGGCTGTCACTGGGTTCACACACACTCACTCTCCCAGAGCTGGGAGGCTTCTCTGTTGTTGTTTATTTTTTAAAGAGAAATCTTTGCTATTTAGGTTGCATGCGCTCAGTGGAAAGAGAGACAGAAAGTTAGAAATCATCTCCAGGAGGAATGGCCACAACTGCAATCCCTTCTCCTCTCAGGATTTTCAGCACACACACTTGCATACGCTGGGTATGAGTTTCAAGCCTCCAAGTCCTTGACTCAAACAGTGGTTGGCGACCTGGGAGTCTAGCACCTTAACTAGTGAGCCACCTGTGGTCCAGGAAGGCCCCTCTAGAGCAGAGAAGAAAGCTTGCTTCTTTTCATATCTGGCAGCCAGTGTTCTCCAAGCACGGCCAGTAGCCTGCAAGAGCCACGGCAGGCTTCCCTGGCACCCCTACCCAAGGAGATCGGGCTGTGGCAGCTGGCCTAGGGGATCTAATGAGGGGTGTGGGGCTGCTGATCAGACTCAGCCGCAGCCCCGTCATCTCGCCTGGGCTTTCTGGACCCTGGGAGAGAAAGCTACGTACAGACCCTTCTCTGAGCCCATGGGACAGCTGGGACTGCAGCCAGCATGTTCCCCCCGGCACCACCTCTGATCCACAAGAGTCCCTTGCCAGGCAGCAACTCACCCTGGGGAGCGAGAAGTAGCATGACACGGCTCTGAACAAGCCAAGGCAGCCTCGCCATCGGTCCCCACTCTGACACACCGGAGGGCCAGAGATGCCTGCTCCTGGGAGCCATGGCAGCCAAGGCCTGGAGACAGAGATCCTGCTGGGAGCCCCACGTCCAGGCAGCCACAGCCCAGACAGAGCCCGCAACGGTGGCATCAACAGGCCCTGATGGGCTTAACCCCACACAGGGCGCAGCGACCGCAGCGCATCTCGGTCTGGATGCAGACAGAGCTGCAGGAGTGCTCACTGGCACTTACCTGTCCAGGTACACGCTCCAGGTGCGCTGTCCTGGACACACTAGGGTGCTGCCGCGCTGTATCTGTCACACATCCGGACGGGCATCGTCTCAGGACCCCAACCGTTCTAAAAGTCAACACTCACCCCCCTACCCCCCCACCCCCACCGCCCCAGCTGCATCCTGCGTGCATGGCCACAGGCCGGTCAGAAGTCAGCCCCAGAAGTCAGCACGACGGTGGCGCCACGCCCTCCCCAGACCCCATAGACAACCACAGGTGCCTTCCGTGCTCAGTCCTCCACCACAGCCCTCTCCAGACAGCCCTCGCTGCAGGCCTGTGCAGTCAAACCCACCTCCACCCCAGTGCCAGCTGGGGCCCACAGCTACCCCTTGGCTCCCAGGGGCCCCTCGACCCTCACATGCCCTGCTACTGCCCAGGCTTACATGGTGGCCGTCCCTGGAGCCGGCAAGACCGACCTCTGTGGAGCGAGCCTGCAGCTGGGCTGCTGCCGCAGGAAAACAGGCCCTGGCCTCCCAGGCCCCTAGTCCCCCTGGTCCCCTAGTCCACCACGGCACCCCCCGCTCCCGACTCCCGGGCCAGCCCCGCCGGGCCCCAGCTCTCACCTCGCTCGGCCGGCCCGCGCCGGCC